TGAAACAATTATACAATCATTTATACATTCCTTTGCTCTGGATCACAATATAAAATGCATTTCTTACTACAAGTCACTATTTAAAAAGTTGAAACCACTGCCCTAGAGAAATTCTCATACAAATGTATAAGTAGACCGGCAAAAGAATCTGTGTTATGATTATGCGTTTAATAATAAACAATTGAAAACAATTAGAACTCGGAGAACTGATAAATAAATTGTGGTATAGTCATACAGTGGGATGCTATACAGCATGTAAGATAAACGTGAGATTTGTGTATTAACACAAATAAATCTCATAAACACAAGTGTTGAGGGAGAAAAAAAACTGGCCATGTAATACCATTTCTATAACGCTTTAAAGCATACACAGCAATATCACATATTGTCTGTAATATTAGTAGAAGTGTGAAAGCATATATAGGTAAGGGTAATGATAAATATGTACAGTATGAGCCAGAGGGAAATGGGATCAGAAAATTGTACCAAGGGCATTGCTTTAGTTGTTTTATTTTTTAAGCTGGGTGGTAAATATACAGGAACTTGTTACATTGTTCTCTATTTCTTCTTCTAGATGCCCCAAATATTTTATTTAAACTGAATTAAATTAAAATACCTAGGAGAAAAAGTCCTGTTGAAGCATTTTGATTAGCTTGATGGTGTCACAATCCATTTGTGAGCCAATTGCTGTAGTCAGGGCAGTGGAAGGAATAATCTGGCCCCCGCCAGTCATGTTCCCACCCTTTTGGTAGGGTGGGGTAGGAAGGAGAGCAGACAGGTCTAGCACCAGAAAAAACAGGCACCAAAAAGTACCAGAGATTTTCTTTTTCTTTTACTTTTCTGATTCAGTTATTTCTAATTCTATTGTTATTTCCATCATTCTTTTCTTGAGATTTTTGAGGCAGTTTCCTTTTTAACTTATTTAGTTGAATCCTTATTTATTTTTATTCCCACATGAATGAATTGTAGATTTGCACCCTCCCAAATGTTCTGCCAGCAATATCAAGGCTCCCTTTCAAGAACTATTTCTGGTTTTTAGCATTTATTTTCTTGAACTCTTGTGGGTTTGACTCCATCTCATCTTTTTGTAAAAATTTTAGTAAGTGTACACAGTCTATTCACACATAAATATGTTGGCTAGAGACTTAATTGTGAGGTTATAGACTTTCCCTTTCAGAACTCTGTAGATTCTCTCCATGGTTTTATGACATGTACTTTTATGGAAGTCCAAAGACAACTTAATTTTTATCCTTTTTGTTGTTAACAGTCATTTTGTAGGAATGAGCTTTAAGAGAAGAATGTTGGTTTCTTCTAAAAGCCACAAGGCACTGAATTTGGGGTCTCACCATTAATCTGAACTAGAAAAATCCTGTAAATGACCACATTTAGATCTTTTTTTCTGCTTAAGCTGTTTTATCTTTGTTGCTTCTCTACATTTTTTAGTTCCTTTTGCATTTGTTGTCTTCCTCCACCTCTTTTCATTGTTGTAATACCCATTTTTATAGATAGAACACTGTATCTTCTCCATATTTCCATAATATATACTATACACACATACACACGAACACACACCAAGTACCTTTTCTCCATCATTTAAGTTTGTTTAACCTTTTCTGGCATTCTGGCAAAACCCTTTGTGTGGCTGTGTCTCCACTACATTGTGCACCCTCTGAGGCTTCTTTTGCATTTACTAGTGCAACGCCTCACACCTTACAGGTGCTCAGTAAATATTTTTTGAATGAATAAATATAGACTAATTGTGTACCTTTTGGTTGTCCCTCAATCAGTTTTCTGTGGGGTCATTTCTGCTGTATGCAGATTTGGATTGCCATGCTGCATTTTGGGGTGTTTCTGTATATGTGTATATATTATGTGTTTTTGATCTTTTATCTTGACCAGCTCTCTTTTTGTCTAAGTTCTTCTCTTCTTTTTTTTAATTTTTATTTTACCAATTATATCTATTCTATCTCCTACAGAGAATTAATTTTGGAAGTAACCTTTCCTGTCGAAGTCCACAGGACATTTCTCCCCTTTGCTTGTGTCTTTTTTTTTTTTTTTTTTTTTTAGTAGAAACTATTTATTTGTTGTTTATTCTGTTCACTTACTTTGGAAAGTGGAAAAGTACAATAGGACCCATGTCAGTCCCCTGATATTTGTGTGCTGCATGGCCTGCTGTCAGCACTAACGCCGGAGAGCAGGTTGATGTGTGCAACCTCACCACAGTTTTCAGTGCCCAGGAGGCATTCACCTAGTGTCAGTCTGTTGAACTTAGCATGGCATCTTCTCCTGTTCCTGCTTCTTGTGTTGTTGAAATATAACGTGTGTTCTAAAAACTCTGACATAGAATTTATTACTATTACCACTTTATCCCAAGGAAGCACCATTTTCAGGACTCCACCTTACATACTTTATCTTTGGCCTTGATGGAGTTAGAATGGGTGTGGACCAGTGATGAATATGCTAGAGCTGCTGTATTTGGCCTATCTAATTCAAAATATGATGTTCTATCTTTCTTTAAGAATTCCCCTTGCAGTATAAACGTTCCTCAAAAAATTAAAAATAGAACTACCATATGATATAGCAATTCCACTTCTGGGTACTTATCCGAGGAACATGAAAAAACTAATTCATAAAGAAATACGCACCCTCATGTTTACTGCAGCATTATTTACAATAGCCAAGATATGGAAACAACCTAAGTGCCCATCAGTGGATGAACAGATAAAGCATATGTTCTGTGTGTGTGTGTGTGTGTGTGTGTGTGTATAATGGAATATTATTCAGCCATAAAAAGAATGAAATCTTGCCATTTGTGGCAACATGGATGGGCCTTTGAGGGCATTAATTTAAGTGAAATAAATCAGAAAAAGATATATATCGTATGATCTCACTTATATGTGGAATCTAAAAAAACCAAAAACCAAGCTCATAAGTACACAGAACAAATTGGTTGTTGCCAGAGGTGGAGGGTGAGGTGTGGATGAAATGGGTGAAGGGGGTCAAAAGGTACAAACTTCTGGTTACAAAATAAGTGAGTCATGGGGATGTATTAAAAAATAAAATAAGGTAACTAAACTGGTACTGACAAATAAATATAATGTATCTGGGCTTTCCCAAAACATTTGGCAAAATTTTTCTTGATATCTTCGTGAATGAGATGAAAAAAAATATGAGTTAAATGATATGACTAGGTGAATTCACAGTTAAAAAACAAAACGCACATTTTACAGATAGAGCAAATGATGTGCAGACAAGGGTGATAACTTCGGAATCATAGTGGATGAATTACCAACTCAGAACAATTTGGGGGTTTAAGTACCTCCTGTTTGTTTAGCAGGTATGTTGAGTGCCACTTAGCATTATTCTTGATCACAAACAACAAATACTGAAGAAAGTTTTTGAAAGCGTATAAGGTAACTCAGAGATTTGACAGAAGTCCTAGGGAACCAGATTTGGGAAGTAGGAGTCTAGGGAGATGAAGTAAATATTTAGAACCATAGCCAAGGTTATGCCAGAGGAATAACTGCTTAGAGTATTGCTATCGACTGCTGTGTACATTTGTGTGTAATATTCTTTATTGATTAATTGCATCATTGTTAATAAGAAAAATATGAGGAAAAATGGAATTAACCCAAAAGTCTATCAATAAAGGTATTGGTAAAATAAATTATGTAATAATTTAATAAGAACTTACCAAATACTAGAAGTAATTACATAATATGTCTGTATAATGGATATCGCTATAAAAATATTGTAGTGCATCTAAACATATACTCATAGAATGATATTCAAGATATAAAAAGTGGGGAAAAGTTGAAAAATACTGTATTTAGTATTTATTCTATTTTGGTTTTAAAAAATATATTTTTATATACATAGAAAAAATTCAGGAGGAATATGTATCAAAACTGATAATAGTTGTTGCCTCTGGATGACTGGTTAATGGGAGCCTTTGATTTATTACATCATATTTCTGTAATGTTTGAAATATTTTTGCTAATAAATGTAAAGTAAGTGAATATGCCTCTACTAACTGGAGCCTTTAATTTTAGATTTTTTTCTAAAAAAAAATAACACATTTTTAGTGTAAATAGGGCAATGACAGCTATATTTGGCTTTCTCTGCTCTATGTAAATAGATGTTCTCAGAAAGAAGAACTGATTTTCCTGTTCCCCTCCCACCTCACCCCCCCATCATGGTAGTCCTCATTTCATCAGTGAGTATGCCAGCTGAATGTTTGAAGAGTAAATAAAAAACAGATTCTAAACAATTTTACATTGTAATTTTGTGATTGCTATGGAGTGGCATGTTTTTAAACATTGCTTTACCAAAGTATGTGGATCCTAATCCCACTTTTGTTTTACATGTTTTATTTTATCTATGATTATTATTATCACCATCATCATCATCACTCTCTTTAGACAAAATATCTAGTTTTAAATATCAGGTTATTCTATAAAAGTACTCCTTTTCCCATTCTTGCATAAAGCTTGAATTTCTATTTTAGGAAAGATTTTAAACTTTGAGTAAAAACTTTTAGGTAAACTTTAAAAAATATCTTTCTTAAAATATTTTATATTAATTTAAATTTGGCACAAAACTTGGTGAAACTTGTTTTATTTATTTTTTTAATATTTATGTATTTATTTATTTGGCTTCGCTGGGTCTTAGTTGTGGTATGCAGGATCTTTAGTTGCAGCATGCAGATTCTTTAGTTGATATGTGGGATCTTTAGTTGTGGCATGGGGGACCTTTAGTTGCGGCATGTGGGATCTAGTTCCCTGACCAGGGATCGAACCTGGGCCCCCTGCATTGGGAGCACAGAGTCTTAACTGCTGGACCACCAGGGAAGTCCCAATGAAACTTGTTTTAGTTTGACTGATTTTAATGTTTCATATTACTGAATTGGTTATTGAAAACTTATAAGATATTTTGGTATAACAATTTAATCATGTTAAGAATTATAATTTTTGTTTATTTGTTTGTTTGCTTGTTTTTAGTATTCCACATTGGAAGAAGAGATTTCTGTAGATGAAAAAAATGCCTTTGTTTAGTAAATCGCACAAAAATCCAGCAGAAATCGTGAAAATTCTGAAAGACAACATGGCCGTTTTGGAAAAGCAAGACAGAAAGACAGATAAGGTATGAGGTAAAATAATAACATTTTTATTAAAATACATGAATAGACCAAAAAAGCTAATTTAAAAGCTTAATGAAGAATCCTAAACATGGTCTGTGATGCACTCGTAGGGTCTTTGTAAGTACGTTTAAATTGATTCCAGGTTTTATGCAACTGATAATTGTTGAGTCTGTTGTCTTGAACTCTTCGTTCACTTTCTAGAGCCTCTGACCAACCTTGGATCCCTCTAGACTTAAACTAAGGGGTAACACCCCTCCCTCCACCTCTGGCAACCACCAATCCATTTCAGTCATAAAAAAGAATGATATCTTGCCATTTGCAGCAACATGGATGGACCTAGAGGTCCATTATGCTAAGAGAAATAAGTCAGAGAAAGGCAAATACTGTGTGATTTCACTTATATGTGGAATCTAAAAAACAAAACAAAACAAATGAACAAATATAAAGCAGAAACAGAGTTATAGATACAGAGAACAAACAGGTGGTTGCCAGAGGGGAGGTGGGTTGGCGCTGGAGGGGCAGGAAATTGCTGAGGGAGATTGAGGTACAAACTTCCAGTTGCATGGGTGTGAAAGGTACAGTGTAGAGAATATAGTTAATAACTGTGTAATACCTTTGTATGGTGACATATCGTAACTAGACTTATTGTGGTGATCATTTTGGGTTTTTTTATATATTTTTTAAAAATATTTATTTATTTATTTGGCTGCGCCAGGTCTTAGTTGCAGTGCACAGGATCTTCATTGCGGTGTGCGGGATCTTTTAGTTGCAGCATGCAGGCTCTTAGTTGCGGCATGCGGGCTCCAGTTCCCTGACCAGGGATCGAACCCGGGCCCTCTGCATTTGGAGCTCAGAGTCTTAACCACTGGACACCAGGGAGGTCCTGTGGTGATCATTTTGAAATGTATAGAAATGTTGAATCACTATGTTGTAAAACAGAAACTAACAGTGTTGTAGGTCAATTATACTTCAAAAACAAACAAAGAAACTCAGAAAAAGAGATCAGATTTGTGGTTACCAGAGGCAGGGGTACTGGGGAGAGGGAATTGGATGTAGACAGTCAAAAGATACAAACTTCCAATTGTAAGATAAGTAGGTACTAGAGGTGTAAGGTACAACATGATAAATGTAAGTAACACTGCTATATGTTATGTATGGAAGTTATTAAGAGAATAAATCCTGAGTTCTCATCACAAGGAAAAATATATTCTTTTCTTCTCTGTTTCTTTAATTTTGTATCTATATGCAATGATGGATGTTCACTAAACTTATTGTGATAATCATTTCATGATGTATGTAAGTCGAATCATTATGCTGTACACCTGAAATTTATACAGTGCTGTATGTCAATTATATTTTAATAAAACTGGAAGGAAAAAAACTCAGAATGAAAAAAAAATCTAAGGGGTTATACTGGTATATAATATTATACTGACATGGAGGGTAAAAAGTTTATATTTAAAGATCAACTGATAGTTTCTACTACAGTGCAGCCTCTTTTTTTTTTTTTTTTTTTTTTGGCACACCACGCAGCATGTGGGATCTTAGTTCTCTGACTAGGGATCGAACCCGCGGCCCCTGCAGTGGAAATGCGGAGTCCTAACCACTGGACTGCCAGGGAATTCCCAGTGCAGCCTCATTTTAACATTGTTTTAAAGTCCTACCAAGAAGGGCTTCCTCAGAGGAAGGGGTTTTAGTAATTCAGTTATCCCTTCAAAGGGACGTTGAATCCTACATATATAATTTGTCTCTAAAGTGACTAGTTTATGGCAAGATTCAAGATATCTGTAAAATAAATACCCTTGAGTTAATGGTATCTTTCTGTCCCAGTGAATGATACAATATTGTATTCTTGTAATGGTGTAGAAATATATTTTTTATCCTACATCTTGTAAGGAATGTAGAAATATATTTTTATTTCTATTGTACTTTGTAATATTGAGCAAAATATTGGCTCAATAGAATGAAGAAATGACCTTCATATAAGAGTGAATCTAAATAACAAAAGAGAGGAAAAAGGAAAAGACATAAAAAAACACTAATTTTCATTAGTAATCAGGAAAAGGCCAATTAGAACAACAGTAAATTCGTATTACATTCCTACTATCTTGTCAAAAATGAAAAATGTCTGATGGTATTAAATGTTGACAAGTGTGGAGAGCAATAAGAACTTTCATTCACTATGAGTGATAAAGTATAAATTGGTGTTTGGAAATGGGTTTAGTATATTATCTGTTAAATATGAAGATATACATGTTCTAAGACCCTGCAGTTCCCCTCCTAGTATAAACTCTAGAGATGTTCTTGCAAATATGCACCAGGACGCATGTCAAGAATGCTGATAGCATTGTTGTTCATAGTAACCCCTCAGTGGAAACAACCCTGATGTCCATCAACAGTAGAAGTGAGAAGTTGTGGTCCAGTCATTGATGGAATACTACAGAACAATGAATGTTAAAGAACTGCTGCTACATGCAGCGGCAAGGATGAACCTCCCAAATACAGTGTTGAGTGAAAGAAGCAAATCATAAGAGGGTACAGGTACTATTCCAGATCAGCAGAACTAAACTATGTTGTTTTGGGATACAAACATAGGTGAGAAAACTATAAAGAAAAGTAAATAAATGATTGTCATCAAAAACATAAAAGGATTTACTTCCGGCTGAAAAAGGGGCATTCAGGTGACTTCTGGGATGCTAAAAATGTTCTATTTCTTGACCTCTCTTATGGTCACACTGGTGTTTGCTTTATAATTATTCTTAACTCTATATATGTTTAAAGTAATCTTCTGTGGATATATGTCACAATTTAAGGAACTTCCAACCTTTAATAAATTAAGGATTGCTTTAGCAATATCATAAAATGTATCTGGAAATTAATTTTTTAAGTAGTGTCATGCTACTATAAGTTACTTTTATTATTTTGCCTTATTCTCCTCATTTCCTTCTTCAATTATAATGATTAGAATACAATACTGGAAAGTAATAAAACTATATTTCTTTAAAAACATTCAGCGAATAGTTAACTAATTGGCCTGTTTTTTTCTTCACCTGTTTTTTTTTGGTATCCCATGCTTGCTTTATTTATTTATTTATTTATCTTCACCTGTTTTTTAAAAATTTTTCTATTGAGTATAATTAAGATACCATATAGCCCACCATTTTAAAGTGTACAATTCAGTGGTTATTAGTTTATTCACAAGGTTGTGTGACCATCACCACTATCTAATTTCAGAACATTTTCAGCACCTCCTTCTCCCTTACCCAGGCCCTAATACTCACTAATGTACTTTCTACCTCTATGTATTCTCCTATTATTCTTTAAAATGCAATGAGGGCTTCCCTGGTGGTGCAGTGGCTAAGAATCTGCCTGCCAATGCAGGGGACATGGGTTCGAGCCCTGGTCTGGGACGATCCCACATGCCTCAGAGCAACTGAGCCCGTGCACCACAACTACTGAGCCTGCACTCTAGAGCCCGAGAGCGACAACTACTGAAGCCCGGGTGCCTGGAGCCCGTGCTCCGCAAAAAGAGAAGCCACCACAATGAGAGGCCCGCGCACCACAACGAAGAGTAGCCCCTGCTCACCGCAACTAAAGAAAAGCCCGGGGCTTCCCTGGTGGCGCAGTGCTTGAGGGTCCGCCTGCCGATGCGGGAGGCGCGGGTTCGTGCCCCGTTTCGGGAGGATCCCGCGTGCCGCGGAGCGGCTGGGCCCGTGGGCCGTGGCCGCTGGGCCTG